ACTGTCAAATAGTGTTTGCACCATCTTTGTTAGATATTAAGACCAGGCAAAATTAATATTTCATTTTCCATCAGCCCCCCCTCAAATGTTTGAGGTGGCTTTGGTGTAGAAGGTAAAAGCTACAAAGGATCAAGACTAATGATGGGGAGCTTTTTTTTAAACCTTTTTTTTTTTTTTGGCTTCAGCAGTATTTTAGCAAACCATCTTCATTGGTCATCTTTAGACTGTTCTAACATGCAAATCAAGCTTAGCTTTCTGCCTAGAAAGCCTTAGGAGTTTTGGTTGGGCTCTTTGCGCATGACTGTAAGGTCTGGAGTGAATCAATCCAGCTGTTTAATTAAAAGGTGGCTCAGATGGTCCGAACAGTACAGCTCAGGCCCCAGCACATCTCTGAACAGGAGGAGGCAGCTAGGCGCCCGTGCTCTCGCCCTCACGCCAGACCATTAAAGCTACCCAAGTCACCGCTGGGAGATCAGCCACCTCTGCCACAGCCCCTGCCCAGCGCAGAGGGGCGGTTCAGAGTTGTGCGTACTCTTCCACGTCAGCAGCCACAAAGCCTCACAGAAGCTGCGTGTCAATAGCTCTTTGGTGTCTTCTGTGATCTTTGTGGCTTCTGCTAACTCCCCCAAATGCACAGAGCTGGGCTTTTGGGTTTTTTTTCCAGGAATTAGTTTTTGGAGGCTTTGCAGTAAAGGATTGGAAAACAGCTCAGCCCAGCTCCCCATGGCTAACGGTAAGGAGATGTGCTGGGTACAGCAGCTCCCACCATCTTCTGACAACATCCGTCTCTATTTCTAGAGCTTCTCACATCTCTCTCTACCCTCTTGGTACCCTCAGACTCCCCTGAGGAAGAGGTAGGCTGGAACGCCTCCGCAATAGTGCCTGGGTCTCACTCCCAGCAACATCTCTCATGGTTTGAAGACAAAAAAAATAATATCTACATGCCATATTTCTAATTGCCCTCCCTTTCCCTGCCCTCCCCGAGCAGTGCTGGAATGCAGGCTGGGACACAGATCTCCCCTCCCAAGCTGGGGAATGCTGCGTAGCCTTCAGAGACAAACCAATGGAAAAAGCAAAGATTAATTTTGACTGGCCCCTAGATCTGTTGAGGTCTGAAACTGTAAAAGTTTATGTAAACAATGAGATAAATATATTAGTACTTTTCTGAGCCAAGTGAGGTTCCATACTCATTCAAATGTGCTTTGGTTTAAAAAATAGTTTTGTGAATTTGGGTATGAGCTTCTTTATTCTTTTATACAACTTTTGCTATTTTATCTTTTTTTTTTCCTGTTATTCCGAAAACATTCTGGAACTAAGTGACTAAAGCATACACTTAAGCTGCCTGGCCTCTTTTTTTTTTTCTTTTTGTTTTTTTGTTTGTTTTTAAATTGTTTTATTCCTCTTGAGGCTCTTTGTGTATTTCAAAAAAAATTAAAATAAAATAAAAAAAACCAAAAATGCAACTCCCTCCCCCCCACCCTAAAACTCTTAAAATCTTAAATATGAAACTAGTGTTTTGCTTTCTCATTAAAATACAGAAAAATGTTTGATACAATACTATGTCGTACAAATGCAGTTGAGTGTTTAGGCCCCAAGCAGGCCTGAAACAGTCCCTGAAGTTTTGAGTATTATTAGTTATTCATTATTACTGTCACAATTTGGAAAATGTTGTTTATACTCAATCTATGGAACACAACTTTACACAGCTACTTGAAAAAAGAACAAAATTTCCTTTTGTACAATACTCTTGCTGTACACAGACTTTATGTCGTATTGTTTAAGTGCTGGGGAGGGGATAAATTAAAAAAAAGACGCTCCGAAAAAAAATTTTTAAAAATAGCATTGGGTCCTGAAACTTCAACATGATTCTTGAGGCTTAAGAAGCAAATGAAGAGGGGCCTGGGGGTGGGGGGAGAGGCTACATCACCCACACACATGCTTGTAAAAATGGAATTAAGTGAGGGGGAGCAGGTTATTTGCCCGCTGAGGAGCTCACTGCTTCCTCGCGCCGTGGGCTGCTCCGTGGCTTGGCTCAGTCGGTCACAGCTTGAGCTGCTGTCCCAAGGGTGGCTTCTGCACAGACACCCACCTGCTGTCCCCATCGCTGGCTGTGTGCCACAGCGGTGGCGGACCCGTCTCAGCAAACTGAAGGGCCGCAAGTGAACGGGGGAAACCCGCATCCAAAACCTGCAGCGGGGGACAGGCTTCATCCCCGGCTGTGCCCTTCTCACTGAGGGAGCTAAAAATTGTTTTGAAAATCTGGACTCGATGGGTCCTTAGCCAGCCGGCAGCAAGGGGAGCCTGCTCTGGCTGCAGCCTAAGCCAGCGTGGGATTCAGCTCAGGTTTAGGATGGTTGGAGGGAAGGTAAAGGCAGGGTGAAAGTGCCTAGGAACTAATATCTTGCACAGCTGTCCCTGGGCCCTGCTGAGACTTGCTCTGAGAAAAAGGTAGATGGCAAGGCCTTCCCTGTCCTCCCCAAAGACTATTTTGGGGACATTCTCAGGGGGGTTTGGCAAGGAATCAAGGAGAAAAGAATTCAATATATACTCAAAATGTGGAAGTGCTAAAGACACTAAAAACCCACCTAACCCCCCAAAAGAAAACAGCACATCTCAGCACAATTAGAAAAAAACAAAAGTCCATGCTCCCCTCTCACGCTCCACAGCTCGCAGGCGTCCGGGAGCAAGTGGACAATGGCACTGGGAGAAGCACACTGGAGCGCGGCGGGCGAGAGGGGCGAGCGTGTTCCCTGTAACGTGACACCAGGCCAAGGCTCAGCGCCTTTGGGTTGTCTATTGCTTGGAGCCTGGATTCCAGTTTCCTCAGTTCATTCAATTGACCCAAAAACTTCTTATGGACTAGTCTACCTTAACAAAAAAAAAAAAAAAACAAACACAAAAAACAAACAAAAAAAAACCAATAGAAAATGAAGCTTATATTTCTTTGTTTTAGTCAAACATGCTCACTTTTTTGTTTTTTTTTTTTTTTCTTTTTTCTTTTTTGGTCGAAACTTAAAAAAATCAGTTTTGTTTTTTTAAAAAAGACAAAACGTGAGGTTTGGTAAACCTTACGCATAGAAACTATACTGGTTTGAGTGGGGAAAAAAAAAAAACAAACAAATGAAAAAATATAAGTGTAAACCTTACTCAATTCAGAAGGGATGATTCTACTGGCTGTGAATTTTTACCACCACAGTCACGGGAGGCTTGAAATAAGCCATAGCTTTCCACAAGGTCACGCCAACAAAGTCAAGAGGGCCAAGAATCGGTGGGCTAAGTTCTCTGTCTTCTCTCCTAAACCAATAGCAGCTGTTGGCTGTGATGTCTTATGCAGATGTTGCAAGAACATTTTGTTTCTTTTTCTTTTCATTTTTCTTCTTTTTTTTTTTGTGTGCGTGTGTTAAATTGTCTAAAAGGGAGGATATGAAACACTTTGGTTTGCTTTTTCCTCCTCTCCCCCACCTTATTGCACTCTGGATTCTAGTAAATTATAGGCTGCTATGCCCTCACCCTCTGTCCTGCCAGGTGTTTACAGACTGACCCAGATGTGCTGGGGGAGTGGAAGATGAGGGGGACATTTTCCCCTCCCCATAGTATCCAGATTCAATAAACAAAGCTGGAAAGGGCCCAAAAAGCTCAGAGAAGTTTTCTTCTTTTATCTAAAAGTGACTACAAACAGCCAAGAGACTGCGAATGAGCCAGTCCAAGCAGCCAGCACAGCCTCTGGCTCAACGTATTTTTTGCTTTGTCTTTGGCCGAGCTTTGCTTTAACATTTCTCTAGCTGACTTTTGATGGAAGGACGGGGTGGTAAAAATCCCTTAACTTTAATTTAGCTTCTACTTTTATACATTTAATTACTTACAATAAGAGAAAAAAATGCCTAATCTTTCACTAACCATCTTATTGTTCTCATGAATTCAAGAGGTAGCAAAGGTAACAAGTCTGTCCACACAGACTCGCTCTTTAGTGAGGGAGGAAAGCTAAAAACATACACACACACAAAAAATAAAATAAAAAATAATAAAAAAGTACCTAAGGAACTTGTAGCAAGTCCAGCCTACATCAAACCCCCTCCCCGCCCACCCACCCTAGAATTAACCTCAGACCTTCCAGTTCAAACATTCACATAAACGTTACAATGGTTTTTCCTTTAATAAAACAAGTACCTCTAAGCAAAGAATATTCATACGAAACTACTAGAAAAGTAAAGATGACCCCCTGCTCACTGAAAGAAATTCCCAGGGCATCCAGTCCCTGTTCAGTCATGGGTAAGGCAGAAGAGGTTTGTGTGTTTTGTGGGAAAAGGTGGCATGTGGTTACATGTGCCAAGGATAAAGATCAAAACCAAAAGAGGGAGGGATGGTGAGGAGGCATCGCCATTTCTTTAAGTGAAGCACTCTGGCTGGTGCACACCTAGGTAGACTGCTCTCCCCACCATCGCCAGCCCAGGGGGAGGGTGGTGGGTTCCACCATGGCTATGGCTTTCCCACAGTATCCGAAGGGGCTGCCAACCCTGTGAGATGGTCCACAGACACAGCTTCCGCGCTTGTGAATGCAATGCTATGTTATTTCACAGCTACTTAGGTCACTGAAAAGGTGTACTTCATTTGCTTTTTAATGACAAGAAATGCCCCTACTGAGTTTGGTTTTAAGAGAAGAGGTGAGTAGGGTGACAGTAACGTGAAGGAAAGGCAGGGAAGGGGGAGCCAGCAGAGGTCGAAATTTCCCCATGGTCCCCTACCTGCTCTGGATAGTCAATATGGCAATGAAGTCAATGTGCGCAAAAAGAAGTGGCGTTTCTTGCCAGATCACCAAGGTTTGGAGGGAGAGTTGGACTAAATGCATCAGCTTGGCTGTGGACCTTTCTTTTTTTAAAAAAAGGGAAAAAAGGAACTTTTTTTTTTAAATGTTAAAGCTACATTTGTTTAGGCCTCCCATGACTGAACAGAGTATGGGGAGTTGCCCCCTTTTTTGTTTGTTTTTTTTCTTTTTTTCTTTTTTTTTTTTTAAGCAGCAAGTCTACAGAAAGGTAAATCACTGCGGATGGGCTCGAAGCTCATTCTGGAGTCTTTGGCTTATGTGGGAGAGGTATGCATTCGCAGGTGGCTGATCAGATTGCGCTGCTGGGTGAATTTCCCACCACACAGTTGACATTCGTAAGGTTTTTCTCCTGAGTGGACACGCATATGCTCTGTCAGTCGGTACTGCCGGGTAAAGCGCATCCCGCATTCCTCGCAAGCAAAGGGCTTGAGCCCTAAGTGGCTGCGCATGTGCCGTGTCATGGTGCCCCGCTGCGTGAACATCTTGCCGCAGATGTTGCAAGGGAAGGGCCGCGTCAGCCAGTGAGTCTTCTCATGCTGCCGCAGTGTGGCTGGATCCTTGTAGCTTTTCTCACACACTGAACACTTGAAGGGCCGGGACTCTGCAGCGTAGGACTGGTTGGGGTTGGACAAATCCTCGGCTTCATCCTTGCCGCCGTACGTGCCTTCCTCCTTGATGTAAAGGTCTTCCTCAGTGTGCGTCTCCACATGGGCATTGAGCTGCTCGGAGCTGGGGAAGCCTTTGCCACAGGGGATACAGACGTACAGGTTGTCGCCGTAGGCCACTGGCTCAAACCCCTCCTGCCGGTAGACATAGTTGGCACTAGTATGCCCGCCGCTCTCGCTCTCGCTCTGGCCGCTGTCGTCACTGTTCTCCTTACCATTTTCCACCTCCTCCTTACACGGGTAGGGTAGGTCTGCGCCGTAGGCCCCGGCCAGACTCCGCTCCACGGACTTGGACAAGGGCCCCAGCAGGATACCGTTGGGCAGCCCTTCGCCCTCGTCCCTGTCTTTGCCACCCTCCTTTCGGTCAAAGGCGTTGTCTTTCTTGATCCACTCCTTCTTGCGGGACGAGTGCCGGAGGCCCTTGCGCTGGCTGCTCTCTGTCAATGAGTGGTGGCACTCTTCGCTCAGATCCATCTCCATGGGGTCGCTGCTGTCCGCCATGCTGTGAGGGGCTCCGACTCCAGACTCGTCGAACGATGAGGCACTGTTGGCTGCGGGGGCTGAGGCAGATTGGGGAGAGCCATGCTGGCTTTCGCTGTGCTGCGTGTCATCGTGGGAGGCTGCAACAGGGAGCGACGGGCTTTTTTTGGACAGGTCGAGGCCTAGCTCCTGGTCACCAGTGCTCCCATTCGCACTGCTGCCCCCACCGCCGTTCTTACTGGCTCCCCTGCTTAAGGAGTGACAGTTCTCTTGGTTGGAGCTGCTGATGAAGACCTCGTCATCGGAGAGCTTTCCCTTTGACAGCTCCTTTGAGTGTGAGCCCTTCAACCCCTCATTTGACCCTGAATAGCGAGCTTGGATGACCGAAGCAGTGGAAAGTCTCTGACTCCTGGCAGATCTCCCAACACCAAGGCCACTGGCCTTGCCAGCAAAGGACTTGCCGTTCCGCTTCAGCTTCTTTCTGCAGAGAGCTGCCAGGTCGTGCAGTTGGAGGTAGCTTGCTGCGGTGAGGAGAGCATTAAAGTTCTGTTCACCGGGCTGGTCAGTCGTTAAGAGCTTACCAGTATAAATAAAGTCCAAGATCTGCCGGAACACAGTGGGGTTCACCATGTCCGTGTCTAAGTTAATCAGGTTGTCATGCAGGACAAGGGATTTGAAATACATGCTGCTGGCTGCCAGGATGTTCTTATGGGCACGAAACAGGGCATTTTCTACCACAATGATCACATCACAGAGGAAACCTTTGGCTCGTTGCTGGTTCAGCTGCAGTAGCAGTTGTTTGGCATGATTTGGCAGTTCCATCTCCACCTTCTCTTCCTTTCACCTTCACCTTACCACCTGCAAAACAGGAGGATGAGAGGTGTGAACCTGCTGTTTCCACTCGAACAAGTCTACATTTAATAGACTGGCTTAACACGGTACTGTCTATGTTAGGCTTGACACTGACTAAGGAGCTCTGGGTTCAGCCCTGCAAGCTGTGATCCTGCTTGGAATACGGAGAGAAGTATTTCTCATGCTAAGGTTTGATTCAAGTCTTTCAAAAATCAGATTTGCAAATATCTTTTTACAAAAGCAATCGTCATTGCTGGAATTACTATTCAAAAATACCAGCAGGAAAAAAATAGTTAGGTACAGGGAAAAGCTGGTTCCCTCTCCTGACACAAATCTGAAGGGAGGATGAGGAGCAAGAAAAAAAGAAAGAAAAAAGAAGCATCTACCTCACTGCCATTTGCATATCTGAGCATGTAAAATAATTAGCATAAGCTGTAGCTTCCCTGCTTTAACATGTCTGTTTGTTTCTTGGCTCTTACACGTTGAAATCTTACAAACACCCAGCTGCTCTGGGGTTGAGAAAATGACATGTAGCAACTAAATCCATTGAAGATGGAATTAATCACACTGAGGTGTGAATGGGAAATCTCCTTAAGAGTATGAAAGGCTGCTTTAAAAACCACCCGCCTGGCAATGTCCATATCCCAATCCATTGACGTGAAGGGCTAGAATCAACCCTGAACTGGCTGAAATTCAGGATGCTGAGCTAGCTAAATGCCACCAAATATCTTCAATAATCTGAAACTGTTTTCTTAAGTTAATTCTGCCCTGCCTTTAGTTTTGAAGGAATTTTGTTTAAACTGATAGTCAGGTAACCTATCTCAAGTCACAGTCTCTCTACCCTGAAGTACTGGGAAGAGAGGAAAATTATGGTTACCTCTGTGTAGTTTATGTATTTCACAAAGAGTATTCACTGTGTATTTTAGTTTAGATATTTCTATTGGCTTTCCCAGTAGTATGGACTGTATGAAATATTTAGTTTGAGGTGTATCAGAACTAATTGCAATTTCACATTTGGTAGATACTACAATACATAAAAACTAGAATTTAAATCTGGGGCTGCATTCAAGAATCCAAGATCAATTTTTAAACTTTTTTTCTTGTTTTTTTTTTGTTTGAAAGTGCCAACTACTACTTGTAATGGGCATTTATCTGTTAAAGTTGATTTAAAATAGTTTCTGAGGTTCAAACATAGGAATTAAATACCAAACATAAAACAGCCACCTTTAGCCTTCCACTTTCTTCCTTCCCAGTTCATCTTATTATTGAAACAGATTTCTCTTACTGAAGGAGGAGCAGGCCATAAGTCCACAGAAATGAAGAGCTTAAATTTTCTCTTAAAATCATCATCAGTTAATGTTTTTATCGCTTGTGAGTCCCATTACCACATTCTGTCCCATCAGATTTCAAATGATGAAGCATTAGACTGCATTATCTTCCCTCTGTGTCAAGTACGTGTACACAAGAAAAAGAAATACGGAGTGATACTATCAATATTAAAAATAACCTCCCTCAAACCTGATTCTCACTAACTGATGATAAATAGAAAGATTTCATTTGGCAGAAAGGTGGTAAATTTACATCATGCATTTCTGCACAACAAAAAGTTTTTGCTTTATGAAAAAAGCTACCAAAAAGTAAACGAATGCAATTTTTCCTCCAGTTTTGCTGCCTGAGTAGCCTGGTACTTATAGTTTTACCAACAGATCTGCCAAGCAGGTACCTCCGTTTTTCCACAGGACACATTTCTTCACTTGGTTAGCTGGTCAGCCTGGTACTTGGTTACACATTTGGTAGAATTTTGTGGCCCCTGTTCGGGTACCAGCACCTAATTCAGCATCCACACAGATCTCAGTGGCTCATCACCTTGACCCACAGCTAAAATGGCTGCTCTGCTTTTCTGTTCTATATTGTTTCAGCAATGGATGGGAACCCAAGGAGACAGTGGATTCACCACTGTGCCTTTGTGCACATTAATGTTGTTCCCAGAAATGGCTGGCTTTGGAAAGGGTAGCAGCCAAAAGGAGGAAATACAGGCTTGCCATGGTGCTAGCCAGTTATTTCTTCTCCATCTATAGTGTTTCTGTCATAGAAAGTCACCCTGCAGCATCACAACACCGTGATAGAGACAGGGATTACCACCACTAAACAGTGTTGAGCACTTCAAAAACAAGTTTTGCTGTAATTAGTTTCATCAGAGTTGCAGCACGCAGGCAATGTGTCTAGTTCTAGTGGCTTGCTTCCAGAATTGCTGATTAAGAGGAAGAAGCAACAGCACAGAGGCACCAAATACCCACTTTTATCTAGCCAGGCCAGTAAAAGCACTTACTTCTGGGTCACCGAGATATATTGATAGGGAAGGACAAAAACATGGCTTGCAACATTACACACCATCTATATATATAAATGCATCCTGCTCAAGAATAGCAAGAAACAGCCTACTACTACACTATTTTCACTACAAACATAATGGTGCTTCTCCATGCACATAATACACAAAATCTCTGGATATGATTTTTAAGTGTTCCATAAAGGACAAATATGGGAAAGGAAAGGAAACAGCACAGCCAATATATTTTTCCTAAACAGACTAATAAAAAAAAAAGTATGTTACTAAAGTAAAAGCAAGGTTATTTCCCATTCATGTGGCACTTGAAGCAGAGGTCTAAAAATCTCTGTATACATTGTTTGTCTAAGCCTTTGCAGAGAGTCAAGGCTTGCTGCAGCTACTAATGGGAAATATTTTTTGATTTTTACTTCTGTTTTTTTCTTTCTGCCTTAAGTGATATTGAAACCAGGTAATGAGCCTGCAGGGAAAGCCCTGGAAACAGGGGTAGAATTATAGTTCTGCTTTTTACTGACCTTCATGAGGAAGATAATGTTATTATTAAACCTCAGTATGTTCTGCAGCATAAAAATTAGCATAGTGCAAGTTGTTTAAACTACCTCTATTTATCTCACATGTCATATTTTACAGAAGTATTCATGTTCATTAGGACATAAGTATGAGGTAGGCTATTAACTTTAGTAGATTCTAAAAGCAGCGGTCAGGTTTAAGCACTATAACACTGCCTATCAAATTTGAATTTGTTAGCTGAAGTCTAACATGGATTTAGCGACCTCAACAAAATGAATGTAATGGAACAAGGCAGCAAAATCTTCAGCCAAGTTTAGAGCCCCATGTTTAAAATTTTGCCAGAATTGCCCACTGGGGGCTTTTACCAGATCAGCAACACCTTTGACTGACGTACCTTTGTTGACAAAAGCTTTATAGCATCAACCTGGCTTGTGTATCTTGTGCAGTCCTGAACAAAAATAAATCCATTCCAGATATTTTCCAGAGCTGACCAGTTACAAACCCTTCTTTAGCAATGATGCATTTCAGAGGTTGGGGAAGAGGGGTGTGGTGGAAAACTTGTTAGCGAAAGAGAAGCAGGCATTATTCCTCAATCTATGGCATTCCTAAGATCTCACTTCTAGCTGAAAGCATGGGACCAAAGACAACTACAAGGTTAAGTCCAGTATAAAAGTTAGCAGATCTTCCCAACAAATGGCAGGTGCAGCCTTACAAAGGCCTTGCTATCCATTAGTTTGCAGAGACTGGCTCTTAACAAACCCTGAACATTTGGATAACATCACCACCACCGATAATGACAACAAAAGCCCCAAAAAGCCCTGAAAAATCACAGTGGTTTGTATTTCTTGTATCTCAGTATCATTTTTAAGAACCCTTCCTTTTCTGTTTTATGCAAAAAGAAAGAAAAAACATACTCCCAGTTCAGAGGAGCCCTGGCTCAGAAAGGGCTCCGATGTATTTCAAGTAAAAAAACCAAACCCTAGACCTCAAGAATATGTAGATGTCTCACTGGGGCCACAGTCTTTTATCATTGAATTTGGTGCACAATATTTCACTCCTTTGCATTTAAAACAGGATCACAGAAAGCTTTGGACAAATAGCATTAGAGATGGTCTTTCTTCAGATTCAGGTTGCTTCCTAGTCATTCAAGACACATAGTTTTCAGAGCAATGAATCTGCTCAAATATTTTTGTGCAAGTAGAGAATGAAGCAAGACTGAGGCTCTCCACTACCTCCACCATATCCATGACACTGAGACACAGCACATGCAAAGACATGAAAATACAGGGCACAAATCACAGAATACAGTAATGCTGCAAGCAGATGCCACACATCAAACAAAGCTTCGCAAGCTAAGAGCTGATAGCGTCTTCGTAAGCAATATTGCCCAAGGAGCTGGGTAACTGCGAGCTGCTGTGCCCAGCCTGGGGCACACTGTGATCCTGTGGGCATGAAGATTGTGCAGAACACACAGACTGCTCCAGGAGCTGTGCTGCACTCGCTACAAAGCAGGAAAAAATTAATTTTCTCTCAATTTCCACAAAGACTCTGGACATCACCGAAAATTGGATTGCCAAAGCACAGGAGAAGAGGAATCCCTTCACCCCTTTAAATAGTATAAAATCTACACATTCACTACAGATTTGATTCTCTTTAATATCACTAAATCTCTTCCTAAAAGTAATTGCTGAATGAATGCTAAATGTGTAATCTTAGCAAACTCTGGCAGGAGATGCTATTTGATTTCATCTCTGAGTTATAGATTGCAGCATATGAATATTGTTTACCTTTTAAGAAGCAACACCAGTGAAGCAAAGAATCAATCAAAAACAGATCTAAGGAATCACTCATTTCACGTAGAGGATTTGTGGAGGGATGAGAAGGCTAGACACCAAGCACCTGAACAGTGAACTAATAGTACTGCAGATAAAAACCAACAAACAGATTAGATGTGATGTATCAAATTAGATGCCGTTAAAGCGTTAGCCTACTGTGCATGTTATAAAATACCTAGGAAAAGATAGTGGCCTGCTTACGTATTTCTCCACCTTCCCAAGCAGTTGTGCTGCACTGAGCAGACACTGCAGCAGCAAGCATGGGGAAGAACAAGACAAAATTAAATCAATTGCTTCCTACATTGCTCTTTCCCGCCAATTTACTTTGGACATTAATAATGCTGTGTCCAGCTGCTACTGGATCTGGGTGAAACTGAAACAGATGACTTCTGCACCCTTCAGTTTCAGATGAAGTAACTTTTTTAGAGCACTTGAAGACCCCACTGGGAAGAGAGCTTTCCTGTTGCTTACTGGCTCATCTGATCTTCCTCTCCCCACATCCCAACAGTTCTGTTCTATTTCCAGGACTTTCCCGAGGTATCAAGGTATCGGTGAGGTAGGCTTTCATGGCCACTAACCTTCCCTTCCAGGAGCTGCCGTTGGCAGGTCATTAGCCCATGCCTTGTAAAGGTATTCACATTCCAGAGCAGCAGAGGCATAGGGAGGAATGCAGGAACTGTGTAAACCCACATGGTTCCCTATCCCCAGCCCCTGTGAGCAGGCAGACAGCAGGACTCGGAAACAGAGGCAAGAACATGCATTTTCATCATTGGCAGTGGAGCAGCAAAAGCTCTGTGGCAGAAAACAGGATGCAGCATCCTTGTTTTTCTCACAGCCATATCTTCAAAATAGGTAGGACCAACATGTTAAGTTACTCAGGGAGAGGTCTGCAAAGCTGGGCGAGGGAAAGAAAGCAACATGCAGGACAGAGCAGGATATGCAGCTGATGTTACAGGTGTGGACATGGAAAGGAGAAGGAGAATGGAGGATCATTTCGCAGAGGATACCACATCAGCAAACTTAAAGTGGCCCTTGTTTAGTTTGTTACATTCCAATTAGTGCCAGGCAGAACTGCCCTCCTGGGTCCCTGAAGCAGCTCTTGCAGGACTCCCGCAGAAACAGTATAGCTTTGCTTATGGACACAAGCACCTGTTCGGTACCTCTGTGCGGCAACGTTTGGACATTAGGTACGTGGGCAATACGTGCTCAACTGCTACCAGCTCCTGGCCCAAAAAGGAGAGAAGAAAAAGAGTCAGATGATTTCCCCAGTCCCTTCTCTTTCCTGTTCTAGAATAACAAGGAGAGCCCAACATGGCGAGGCCCTTCTCTACTGCATGGCAAACTGCCCAGGGAAGGGGAATCTCCATGGGTGAAAAGGGTAGGGGCCCTGTGTGCATGAAAGCACTAACATCAGGAGAGCAAAGTGATTTCCAGTCAGTGCAAGGCTGCAGCAAAGCAGGAACACCTTGCTATACAAGCTGAGACTACGAGCAGTAGAATGCAGATTAACCACTTGGTTGCCGCTTACCATGCCAGGTACATTGGGCTAAAGGCACCTCCATCCAGTGCTGCCCGACGTGCCAGGTACATCCCATGATGTTCCATTGAAATCACAACAGGCCATCAATAGAACGTGGCTGCACGGATGCAGAATGGAGAACCAGCAGGGACGCTGTTAAATGCAATTAAAAAACTGCAATCAAAATTGAAACGTACATTTTAAAACGGCCACCTGCCTTAAATATGTAACTACTAGAACAACCTCCCCTCCACCCATTTCTCTCCCCAGAACTGCTGAACTGCGACGGAAACAGAGCAGAAGGCTTCTGCAAGTTTCTTGATGACTCTCTCTGGCCACCTCCATTCAGGACTCCCAACGGCACTGAGCTTCAGGGGGACCAGTCCATATATATCCAAGAACAGCAGATCCCGGGATGTCTGCACAGCTTCCTTCTGCCCAGAAATTCAGGCAACTAAATATCACCATTTAGAAATGCCTCTACAACGAGAAAAGCCTGGCGCCAGAGCTTCATGGTCTCATTCCCCACACAGTACAAGCAATGGAAGAAACACTTAAATGCTGATCCTCTGTGTTGCCCCCATTTCCCTGTCCCCCTTTCCAAGCCTTTGATGTCCTGCTCTTCTAGACATGTTATGGCATTGAGCCAGGCTGGGTCCTTTGGCTTTTGTTACGTCTGTGGTGCAAGACAGGAAACAAAAATACTGTATACCTTCTCCTATTTATGATGATGCTTCACTGATAGTTTAATCTACATTCTTGGAGACTGGAGATCAAGTTGATTCATGGTGAACTGCAGCTGGTATGAGAGTCACAAAACTGAAGATCTATAATTCCACCCTTCCCTACCCAAAGGAAAAAGCAACAACATCTTTTCCATGTCAGGGAAAGGCACATCCCCCAGATACACAGCTTGTCAAGCCTAGGGTATCCTCTGTAGTGCGTATCCTCCTTCCCCCAGAGCTCCTGTAATCAGCTCTGGCAGGGTTATCAAAGAGGACAGTCTCAGGGTAGATACTAAGCACAGGTCCCTCTCTACAAGTGGTGATGCTGCCCCAGTGTAAAAAAAAACAAAACAAAAACCCAGAACAGAAATAAGCCTGCAGCCTCACAAGGATTTAAAATAGGTTTTTAGATCCTTATGGTGAAGTAAAACTTCTGCATAGCTCTTGTCACTTCGGTGGCAGCTGTGCTGCTGGAGTTAGAAATCTTACATTTAAAAAGTTAGAGTATTATTATCATTTCAAAACCTTAAGAGATAAAAGGCCAAATGAAAAAGACTTACAATAATTAATGTAGTTGGATGAGAGAGAACGTAAAGGAGGACAGTGGCCTGGCAAATAGAAAGTGTCTTTGTGAAAAGGACACTGAACGTAAGGAGATAGTTCTTCATTCTTCCTGGACATCTGCTGGGCTCAGGCCCGGGACAGTGTTCCCATCATTCCCACCTGCATTCTTATCTCCACAATTCTGTAACTAAATCCCTTTTGCACTGAACTAATAGGTCTTTTGTATTCAGATCGCCCTGTTTTGACTGCTATAGACCGAAGATTTTTAAATCTTGTCAATACAATAAAGAAGTTAAATGTAAGCAGGCTATGCTGAGCCAAGAGCATTTGCTGAACTAGTCTGAACGGACCACTGCCAGCATGAACAGGCCAACCCCATTTAAATAGCATGCAACTTTAAGCATAATGGGCCAGAGCCCCAGGGATTTGGAGCTCCCCCCTCTCCAAGAGATCACACACTCTAGACTGCATACAAGCAACATGCTACTGGCTGCATGTGCCAGCATCAGGACTCTGCAAAACACTCAACAATACCAGCAATACTCAGCTTAAGAAAGGCTGAATGCTGCACAAAGGTATTTCTTGGACAGGTTTCGAGACAGCAGCTTAAATGCAGATTTACACCCAGATTACAGCAATTTGCTTCTTGCTACTGTGAAGCAAGAAGCTCTTCTCCATAGTTGTATTTCCCCTCTAGGGCAGAGATTAGCAGAGAACTGCTTAAAACAAAGGTGTTTCCTACTGTTAGAACATCACACTGCAGTCAGAAATGAAGCTTCCTGCCAATTCCCTAAACAGAGCCCTTGTATATTATCCATTTATTTTCACTGCTGACATGAAGGACCCTAAGACTACCCAAACTCTTTAGTGGGAGGAGAAGAGAAGAGGCATGGACTTTGCAGATCTTGTCAAGCAGAGCCAGGCACTAAAAATTCCTGCATATCTGCAGAGCACAGTTGATCTCGGGAACACAGCAGTGGCACAAACCAAATAGAGCCTCAGAAGCTAGTGAGCAGCAATAGATGGGCTTTTCTGCAACCCTGCAACAGCTGAGCAAGCTCAGCTCCAACTGTACCTGCATTGCAAGTGGTAAAGGCAGCTCTGATGTCCCATGCTAATCTAACGACTCCTTATTGCACTAAAGTACCCACATATTCAGTGGAGTAGCTCAGATCACACAGGAGGAAGGAGACCCTCTACCCATCCACCAGTTAAGGCCCCTTTGGTATGCAAAATTCCTCTGTTTCCCAGCTGCCTTTGAGCCTTGATGTATAGAATTGTCCCTTTACAATGCAAGAATTTAGGACATGACTAAAGGATTGTTGCTACCTTCCAGCTAATCCTACAGAGTGTTAGGCAGAATCAACAACCCTATGAATTACATGGAGTGAGAAGATGCTTCTGGTCCTAAAAGCTTGGGACCTGTCCTTCAAGTATGGTAGGCCAGAGTTGGCAGGGGGTGCACAGGGTGGCAGCTTCATGCTGGGCATTGCTCTGGGGGCAAGAGCACCCAGCACCGTGGAGACAAAGGAACGTCATGACCCTTTTCCAGCTTTTCCCAACTGTCTTATGGCACCCTCCCAGTTGCAGCACAGCTTTAGGGCTCTGAGTCACCACAGGTACAAGCTGATAGCTGGGTTGCGAAATGCAGCAATACTGGAGCAAATGCGTGGCCCTTTCAGCTGTCCCTGCAACTGGGAAGGGATCTCCAGGACAGGGATGAGGCAGGCAGCTGGGAGTGTTGAATCCTCTAGCGATTGTGACTCAGACCCCTTAGTTACAGGGTTTGTTAGAGCAAACAAGGCCTCGGAGTACTGGGAGAAATCGGAGAGGGTTTGATAAAGATCTTCCCAATTGGCCTGCTTATTTTTATTTCTTGTGTGGACTCAGCAAACTTTTCTGCAGAGAGAAGCAGTCTGCACTGAAGTATCTTCATACAGAATACTGCTATTATCATGAACTTGTTGCAATAGTTAACACTGAGCTTCGTGCTGAGGGTTGCAGGAAGAACATGGGTAGTGACAGCCCTGGACCAAAATGTCATCTCTCTCACCACATGCCAGATACCAGTGAGCACAGAAACAAACTTTGCTGTCTCATTTTCTTCTGCGAGCCCAAATCTCATTCCCTTATCTCATGCATACCTGCAAATGCAGCAGCAGCAGTTCTCCTTAACACAAATAAACAATGCCTTACATACAGCACCTTTTGCACTTTATCCACCATTTTATGTTTTTTTGCCAAGAACTGACCAAGTACTCAGCCCTGTACCTCCCAGAGAAATCTTTGTCTCTAAGCTCCACTCCTGTGAAGCCTTTCAAGCAACCACTGTTTAAGAATCGGTTCTGGCAGTATCAAGACTCTACTGCCTGCCAAATGTCCCTCCGAATCAGATGCTTAGCTGATCATCCTGAAGATTTGGTTCTTTGCAACCACCAAAAAGTGTTTCTGCAACTCTAAGCCTGGCAAATGAGAGGATGCCAGAAAGCCACTATTGCTTGCAAAAGCAGAAGCACTAACAGACTCCAAGTTTTGCAAACTATCTGCATTGCATCCAAATATGTCCAAGCTGAAGATAACCTAAGGGGAAAGCAGGGTTTACTCATTTTCAAAATTCTTCATTTCTTTGGCTGCCTTTCCTCAACCATTACTTCTCATTTTGACTGTTTTATTCCTCTGTCTTCTTCACTTGAGACTTCAGACTTTCTTTAAACTCAGCTCACAGGCTGCAAGGAGATCACTCTACATACACTTCCAAAATCCACCTCTTCCCAGCAAGGCTCCCATCCTGCCATCCTTATCCTGCAGCACTGCACAACAGTGGTCCAGAGCTGCAGATATCTCATGCGCATTTGGCCAACGTTCTCTGTCAAACAGTTTCTCAGCTTTGGGGATTACAGCCCCAGGCGCATTATGAAATGCAGCCCAGCAAGGTCATGGGGTGTTGAAAACTTTGCTACAATCCAAAGCAAAGGATCTTCCTCCTTTCCTTCCCTACA